CAGAGAGGAAGGGATAGACACATCAATGATGAGAGAATCATGGTTCAGCTGTCTCCTGCACGCCCCCTACTGGGGATCAAGCCTGCCACCTGGGCATGTGCCCTGACCTGGAATCAAACAGTGACCTCCTGGTTCATAGTTCCATGTTCTACCACTGAACAACACTGGCCGGGCACCATTTCTCATTTCCATGATGACAGAATCCTGCCACCCTGACCGGACTGTCTTCTGCTGTGATTCACGCAAAAAGGGGCTTGCCTCTTTCAGGTTAGACCTTCCCGGAGATGGACGGGCCCCAATATACTGCACATTGACCAGAGAACTGCCTGGTGGACCGGAAGGGCTAGCCTCCTCCCCAGCTGGGCTGAGTTGATAGTGGAGGATCAAGTGGAAGTTTCCATGGCTCATTACTAATCTCCACTATTCAGGTTTCAGAAGTGAGTTCTGCATTAAGAAGATGCCAACCCTGTTTAATTGCCCACCATGGGAATTGCGGGCAAAAGAAGAGAACAGTGTGTCTTGTCCAATACGCACGCAGGGCTACATTCATAGGCTCACAGGGTGAAGGTGGGCAGAAAACCAGCGGGATAAAAAAGGAAAACAGAAACCTCGAGAACTTAGAACGGAAATCTCCCCCACGCTATGCCTATCCAGACTCCAACTCCCCTCCTCCTAATCAATCTTGCCAGCCAGAGTTTTAGTATTTTCCTTGTTTTAACATTTGCCTCTATCTACAAACATCAAACCCCAAACTTAGGAAGTATATTATTTTTGTATTAACTCTTCCCACCCCCACATACAAACATGTTGTCATACCATTTCACCAAAGAATGGAAAATAAGTAACACAGGATGCTCTCTATTCTATAATTATTATATGTATTTGCAGCCCTGCTGAGCAGAAATATTTGTGTAGTAACCACTGCTCTCCTTGAATGCAAGAACGACTAACAGTCATTTTGGCATCACTGGTTTTTCATCTCTCCAAACAAGCTTGGTTTTGTTGGGTGGTATTTACATATAAAGAATAGAGAGCTACTTCTGGATTATGATCAATCATCTCTGCCCTGGCAGGACAGCTCAGTAGTTAAAGCATTGTCCTGATATTCCAAGGTTGCAGGTTCAATCCCTGGTCAGGGTACGTATAATAATCAACCAATGGATGCATCAAAAAGTGGAACAACAAATCCCCCCCCCTTCCTTTCTCTTTCTAAAGTCAACAATGATAAAAAGAGGACTGATCATCTATTAACTTTGGGATTTTCATCATATCAGGAATTCACACAAACTTTGTAGGTTTTATTGAGCTGGGAAAGTTCTACTGTTAATCAATAAAATTATTTTATCTTAGGAACTTATTAATATTCATTTATTTAGTACTGACCTGTTTTAAAAGTAAGAGTCAGTAAATATTTTGAGTTACATGACTTCTTGACTTTTTTAAATCCTCACCAGAGGATGTTGTTTTTAAATTGATTTTAGAGAGAGGAAAGAGAAAAATATATTTAAGAAAAAAAAGAAGAAGAAAAGAAAGAAGACATCTAATAGCTTTCAAAGAGACGTTGTGAAAGAGTGAAAAATTAAATGCAAAGGTGCTAATTACTAGGCATGGATTCACTTTCAAGTTGTTCATTTAACTTCTACAACTAATGAGTAGAGACAGACTCACACTGCAAACTGGGGCTTTCCAGAAATCAGGTAATTAGAGTATCTCTTTATAATGGACATTACTCAGCAGGTAAGAAAAAGCACATCAGAATAATTCTCATTATTTGTAAAACTCATTAGTGACGAGGAAAGTACAAATAATTTCCAAAGTACTACTGGTGTGTGTGTGTGTGTGTGTGTGTGTGTGTGTGTGTGTGTGTGTGTGTGTTTAATAATGCAAGGCAAACAGGTGATTTTAAATACACTAGTAGCCACATTTATGTGTGTGTGTGTGTGTGTGTGTGTGTGTGTGTGTGTTTATTGACTTCACCGAGAGGAAGGGAGATGAAGAGAGATAGAAACTTCAATGATGAGAGAGAATCATGGATCGGCTGCCTCTTGCTCTTCCTCTATTGGGGATGGAGCCTGCAACCTGGGCATGTGCCCTGAACTGGAATCAGACTTTGACTTTCTTCCTGGTTCATAGGTTGACGATCCCCACTGAGCAACATGAGCCAGGCCAAAGTACTGCTGTTCCTGACATCTTAAAACAGTGACTCTGAGAATTGTGAAAATTTACTTTTCAAGTAAAAAACAAAAACAGAAAAACCCACAGATTTGGAAAAGTGTCACTGGTAATCTGGCTCTAAAACTTACCGTTTGATGATTGGCTCTTACACATGCAACAGCTGGCATTAGGCCACTGTACATGTTAAAATGACACCAGGGCTAATCTTGGTTTTAATCTATTGATCAAATAGCCCAGAACCCAACTCTACCCGAGAAAAAGAAAAACCCACTGTAAGTGGAGAAATCTGAGCTACACCTTCATAAATTCATGATCCACGTTTTTTGAAAATTTTATTTTTTTGCCAGAAATTTTTACTGTTTCGAATCAAAGTATCTAGGCCATCACAACTGAGTCTTATATAAACCCATAACCATTTCACAAAATAGATGGCACAATGCAGTATAAAAATATCTTTCTAGCAACATGAGGGCTCCCTGTAGTGGGTCATGTTTAAGGGCAACCTGAATTTCCCAGGAGGGACCTAGGAGGCAAGCCCTTCAACCCCCAACTGTACTTTGAAGAGGGGCATTCTATCCCCGCCACAACAATTCTAGGAAGGGGAGAGATTTGAGCTGCAGAGACTGGGAAACAGGTGATTGTTTCCCTAGCTATGTTCCAACAATCCAAACATGAAGGTGCGGGATGCCCAAGAGATCTAATCCAAGTCTTGGCAGGTATTTTAATTCTCATAAAAATGATTCCCCACCTCTCATGATGAGCATGTGTTCACTGGTCACTCCATAAAACAATGCATCCTGTGATGTGAAAGATGTGTTCCCTTGGCCACGAATCCCTGCTCAATTGTATTAGACCAGGGCAAACTGTGCTTCTGGATTGCAAATCTATGTCACTAACTTCTCATAATTAAGAATTTCACTTAGGTTGGAGAAGAAAGCAGGGTGGACCCTTGCTGTATTGAGAAGTGTTATGTAAGTATTCTCATACAACTGCAAACCATCAGTGCACTGTGGAAATGTGTAGTGGGTCCTCAGAAGCGGAGTTGCTGGATTGCCATATGATCCAGCAATTCCGCTCCCAACTAGAGCCCCAGGACAGTGGAAAACAGGGACACAAACAGAAACTTGTACACCGGTGTCTATAGAAACACTGTTCACAAGAGCCCCAATGATCCATTGGCAGATGAATGGGTTAACAAATGCAATATATACCCATACAAGGGGAATTATTAAGTTTTTAAAAGAAATGAAATTCTGATATGTGCTACAGCTGGATGAACCTTGAGGATGTTATGCTGAGTGGAATAAGCCAGACACAAAAGGACAAATGCTATATGATTTCACTTAGGTGAGTACTTAGAATAGACTGATTCATAGAGACAGAAAATAGAATAGAGTTTACCAGGGTAAGAGAGGGGAAATAGGAAGTTATTGTTTAATGCAGTGGTCGCCAACCAGTGGTGCGTGGACTACTGGTTGTCAATGAAGTCCGAAAGGCTGGCAACCACTGGTTTAATGGGTACAGAGTTTCTGTTGGGGATGGTAAGAGAAAGTTCTAGAAATGGATACTGCTGATGGTTGCACAACATTGTGAACATACTTCATGGCACTAATTGGTACAACTAAAAATGGCTAATTTGATGTTAAAGCTCCCACAACAATCCAAAATCTAACCCAATATTGATAGGGGGATTTATAATCTGATAGATAGACCACCTGAATTAATCTGAAAAGTAATCATATTAGTTTAAATCTGAGAACGCATAGATTTATGTAAATAGAAGGTTACGTTTCTGATAAGTGAATAGGGGGTTAAGTTTTTCATAAATTTCCTTTTCAAGACTGGTGCGAAGTAACTGGGGAGGTGACTCAGCTGTGAATCCAGCAAGCAGAACCAATAAGCACGGCCAGGCCGACCCACCAGCAGCCAAAACATCATCTCGTCCACATCATCTCATCGCCTGATGACTAAGGACAATAGCTGACGTCTGCAGACCCCCAGCCTGCACGTAGCACCCCAGCCCACTCCCATTTATCATCCTGTCCCCAGCACCTTACTGTGAGACACCCCGTCTTCTTGATGGGCTGGCCTTCTCAATAATCGCCTTATATGATTCACCCTGCCCTCATGATTGGACTCAGCGACAGGCAGCCCCAGCCCAACCGGGGGTTTCCTGGTAACAATATCACCATGAGAAATGTATGACCTGATCTGTTATGGGCACAATCCTTTGAGCAGACTTTTCTAGCAATAGGTGAGGTAGGTCCATTTCCGTTTTAACTATTTCTAGAAAGCACTCAATGATAGTCCTCACAGCAAACCTATGTGTCCACCTCACCCAATGAGTCCAGCTGGCCTTGGAGTTAGGAAGGAAAACTTCGGTTCTGGCCCATAGTTACCATGCCCTAGCCAGCAAACTGGCTTGAGAGCCACATGTGGCTCTTTGGCCCCTTGAGTGTGGCTCTTCCACAAAATGCCATGGTCTGGGTGAGTATTTTGAAGAAGTAGTGTTAGAAGAAGCTTAAGTTAAAAAAATTTGGCTCTCAAAAGAAATTTCAATCATTGTACTGTTGATATTGGGCTCTGTTGACTGATGAGTTTGCCGACCACTGGCCTATAGGGCACTGTCAGTTTAAGATGGTGCTTGTCCAAGAACAAAACAAAGCCATGTCACAAGATACAGAGAACACAGGACATCTAGCTGTGTGTGCCATGGCCTCCCAATGCCTATGAGTCCCTAACTGGAGTCTGATAATTCTCCTGAGGGTCAGACAGAGACGTCCAAGAGCCAGAGACCTTATTCTTATGTCATCTATGTCACCTACCTGATGAAGCAGTCCCGGCCATCCCGGTTCGCCGTCATCTCCCATCCATAGGGCGGAACCTGGTTCAAGCCCCAGGTCCCCGAGGGAGGTGGCCAGCCTGAAGACTTCGCCCTGTGGCTGCAAAAGAAGAACCAAAGGAAGAAAGCATCATTGCAACGGCCCCTGCACATTCCTTCTGAGCCACTCTGGAAGGCACATAGCATCCGCTCCTCACAATGGGCTGTATCCCCGCTGACTGTGTGAATTTTTTAAAAAGATATTTTACTGATTTTTTATAGAGAGGAAGAGAGAGGGATAGAGTGTTAGAAACATTGATGAGAGAGAAGCATTGATCAGCTGCCTCTTGCACAGCCCCTACTGGGAATGTGCCCGCAACCAAGGTACATACCCTGACCGGAATCGAACCCGGGACCCTTCACTCCGCAGGCAGACACTCAATCCAGTTTTGGCTGACTATGTGAATATTTTATGCCAGGTACTGTTCTATATAGAATCTTGCTTATTCTTCTTCTTCTTTTTTTTTTTTAATCTTTCTTTACTGATTTCAGAGAGGAAGGGAGAGGGAGAGAGAAACATCAATGATGAGAGAGAATCAAGGATCTGCTGCCTCCTGCATGCTCCCCACTGGGGATCAAGTCCACAACCCAGGCCTGTGCCCTCACCGGGAACTGAACCATAACCTCCTGGTTCCTAGGTCCACGCCCAACCATTGAGCCACACTGGTCAGGCAGGGGTGGGGTGTCAACCTTTCTGTAATGAGGAGAGACTTTATTCCCCAGGCTTCAGGACAAAGCACCACAACCCCCCCCCCCACACACACACACCTCATGCACCTGACCATAACCCAGCACTATTGTCTGGAGAAACAAGACCATTTCCTGTCAGCACTCTGCAAAGGGACTCTTTTGCATCATTCTAACCGCCTCCCTCGATCTTGAACTTCCTGTTGGTTTTCCCACTTCCTTTATGAAGTGTGGGGAGCGAGAGCTCACACATTGAACAGGGGTCTGGCAAATTTAGAATGCACGGCGGGTGATTTCTGGCCCGATGACTATTAAAAAACAAAGACGCGGAAAGAGTGTTTGTTCCTCTTCTTCATGCAAAAGCCAGCAGCAGCCGTTTCCCCAGGCTGTGTTTTACAAAAGGGGCTGTTTCCCTGCAGCAAGAAAACACATGAATTTCCACCCCGAGGGACCCCCAAAACAGCCAATTTCTCTGCACCAGCATGTGAATGCTTTCTAAGCCCTCCTCTCCCCCAAAAAGAACCAGCCCAGAGGGGTATGAACACAGTATGTCCTTTATTACAAAGGCTTGACAAGGATTTGTACATCGTGAGGTGCCACAAAGAATATTCTTAAAAGTGAAAAAAAGCTTATGCAGAGAGCACAACAATTTATTCTGGATTATTCATTTATGTACTGTATCCGAATGTTCACCTTTTATATATATTTTTTCACTAATAAAAAAAAAGAGCAAAATGCTAATTGACAGTATCTTCGCACTGCCCACCAGCCAATCAGGAGTGAGTATGCAAATTAACCCAAAAAGCTAGCAAATTAATTTGTATATGCAGGCATTGAGGGGCAGAGGGCAGAGTGGGACTCTTGCATTCCGTACCACCACAACCATTCTGGGCCTCTGGGCAGCATTGGAAGGCAGCTCTGGGCCAGAGGGAAAAGGCAGCTCCAGCCAGAGCGAAGTTGGTATAGGCAGCCAGGGAAAGTGGCTGCCTCCTGCACACCCCCTACTGGAGATTGACCCCCAAACCCTGGCAAGTGCCCTTGACCAGAATCAAATCAGGGATCCTGCCCTAGCTGGTTTGGCTCAGTGGATAGAGCATCAGCTTTCGGACTTAAGGGTCACTGGTTTTATTCTAGTCAGGGGCACATGCCTGGGTTGTGGACTTGATCCCCAGTAGGGGACATGCAAGAGGCAGCAAGTCAATGGTTCTCTCTCATCATTGATGTTTCTATCACTTTTTCCCTCTCCCTTCCTCCCTAAAAATAAATAAAGATATATATATTTAAAAACAACTAAACAAACCTGGGATTCTTCAGTCCGCAGACCAGCACTCTATTTACTGAGCCAACCCAGCTCAGGCTCAGCTAACTTATTGAAGACCAACATAGCTCTGTGTTTTCTCTTCTCTTTTCCTTTCTTCCCTTCTCCCAACTCTCCACTCCAGAAGCTAAATCACTAACAGAAAGACACAACCTTCCTAATAGAATTGTCATGTAAATGAAAGAACTGTAATAGGAGCTGGAGGAAGCCTGCATTTTATTATGAGCTACATCGTGTCCTGTCCAGAATGTTCAGGAAATTGTAAGCAACAGTTCACAACGTTGTTTCCCCATAAATCCTTTGGTCATGGAACACCAAGTGAAGCTACTGGAAAAATCCATAAACTCTAATTGAGTGAATTCAGGTCAAGGGACAGCAGTTGTTACAAAACAAAGAATTGAATAATTAAACTCAGACATGGCTATATAACCGTTTGCTAACTACATGGGGCATGGCCCTGGCCAGTGTGGGTCACTTGATTTAGCATCATCTCATCTACCAGGAGGTTTCTGGTTGGATTCCAGATCAGGGCACATGCCCTGGTTGTGGATTCGATGCCCAGTAGGTGGCATGCAGGAGGCAGCCAATGGATGTTTCTCTCTCATTGAAGATTCTTTAGATATCTCTCCCTCTCCCTTCCTCTCTCTCCAAAATCAATAAAACATATTTTTTTAAAAATACATGGGTCAGAAAGGCATGAGTAGGACTCAAAAAATTAAAATGAGAGTAGAACAAAGGTAACAGTGTTTGTACATATGTAACAATAAGAGTCTGGAGGAAAAACAAGGGTGCAGGTCATAACTGGGAGGACTTGGCTGCTGCTCTATGCAGTGTGCTTACTGGAAGGCCATCCCAACAACAATACCCATCCTTGAAGCTGACAGTTTACTCTCTGCTGGGAAGATGCTCCAGCAACCTTTTCCTAATCCCATCTCTATGGCTGTACCAAACTGCCCACCATTCCCCAATGCTGCCCATTCAATCACTGTTGAAGACACAGTTCTTTCTACCCAGAGGCAAAGAGGTGACCCCTTGTAGAGCAGCAGCAGGGCTAGTGCATATTATAGATAGATATAGATATAGATATAGATATAGATATAGATATATAGACATAGACATAGACATAGGTATAGATATATAAACATATACATAGATATAGATATATAGACATAGACATAGATATAGATGGTATAGATATAGATATATATCCTGCCCTAGCTGTTTTGGCTCAGTGGATAGAGCATTGGCCTGCGGACTTAAGGGTCCGCGGTTCTATTCTGGTCAAGGGCACTTGCCTGGGTTGTGGGCTTGATCCCCAGTAGAGGGTGTACAGGAAGCAGCCTATCAATGATTCTCTCTCATCATGGATGTTTCTCTTTCTCTCTCTCCCTCCCACTCCCTTCCTTTCTGAAATCAATAAAAATTATATTTATAAAGAAGAGAAAAGCAGAGGTCCTGGCTGTTTGGTTTTAAAGCCCCTCGGGGACTTATTAAATAGGAGTAGCAGGGTGTGCTGGTCAAGGGCATGGCCCCTAGAGCAGCAAGGGTGGTCTCAGAACCAGCAGCAGCAGCACCTAGGAGCTTGGTGGAAATGCAAATTCTTGGCAACCACCCAAGATGTACTTATCCCAAACAAGACCTACTTATCCCACAGTCACCAAACCTGCGGGCCAGGCGGGGCCCACTCAAGTCTGAGAGCCTCTGTATGGAAACCAGACTCTTCCTGGATCCCTGCTCTGCCATTTACTTTACATAAAATTGAGCAAGTAAAACAGCCTCTCTAACCCCGAGTCCCAGCCACTCACCTCTAACATGGCTGTAATGGGACCTCGTCTTTGGGAGAATACTAAATGGGTTTTCAAAAGTGCTTAGTATGGCCTGGCCAGTGTAGCTACGTGGTAGAGAATCCACCTATGAACCAGGAGGTTACAGTTCGATCTTCGGTCAGGGCACATGCCCAGGTTGTGGGTTCGATCCCCACTAGGGGGAGTGCAGGAGGTGGCTGATCCATGCTTCTTTCTCATCATTGATGTTTCTCTCCCTCTCTGAAATCAATAAAAATATTTTAAAAAAAATAATAGTGAAAAGAATCGGCTCTATTTTGAAGAGAGGCAAGTTGTTAACAACTCCTGACATTTATTAAGGGATTATTCTATGCCAATCTCTGAGCTAAGGATTCTATGTTGCCTGGCTCACAATATCCTAAGTGTTATAAAGACTCTGCCAAATAAAAGCTCTCTGTAACCCTGGAGAGATATAGGCCTCAGGGGAGCGATGCCCGCACGATGGTTTTATCCATTCTCAAAATAGAAAAAGGATCATCATCTATTCCCCCCCCCCCATACTGGCAAGAATGGGTTAAGACTAGCCCAGTAACACCTCTGTAAGGTCAAGTTGCTCTCAAAGGAGAAGAAAATATTAGACATTTTCCCCAGGAGCTGGGAATCCCAGCTGGGTGTGCAGAGGGTCACTTTCCACCGGGCTTGGCCCGTCCTCGAGATTCCTTGCAAGTCCGACATTCTGTGACTTCCACTCGGGCCCATGGCTGTGCGAGCCACTTTCAAACACTTCGCTCAGCCTTAAAAATAGCGACCTACATCGGCGGGGCTATTTCCGGCCCTCCGGAAACTCCACAGGATGCACTGAACTGATTGGCAACTGGTGCTTCACCCATCTATTCTCAGCAACAGATGGAAAGTGGCCTGACAAAACTGGTCTTGAGGCATGAAGAGATGCAGCTGCGGAGGGGACAGGCAAAGCTGCAGAGTGTTGGGACCATGGGTGAGCGAGCCCGGGTCTTCTCCTGCGGTGAGAGGATCCTGTCTTTCAAGGTTCCGTGTGCCCATGAGTAACTGACTAACCAACCCAGTGTTTTGGTTGCAGCTAATGATGCTGTTGATGCTCAGGCCTGTTCTGAATGAGGCTGCCTTCTCTTCTCTCTCAGAACATAACTTTCTCGGCCTGACCATGTGGCTCAATGGTTAAGCATTGACCTATGAACCAGGATTCCCAGTTGGGGCACAGGCCTGGGTTTTGGCCTCCATCCTAGTAGAGGA